GTACATTTTTTTATGGGGCAAGTTTCCAAGGGCGGGTTTTCTAGGGGCGAGTTGACTGCCAAAGAGTGTTGCCAAAGTGCGAGCCAGTGTGTTATTTGATCACAAGTGCGAGACATATCACAAGTGTGAGCCAGCGAGCCATGACAATAGATAGAGACGTTAGCGAGTTGTGCGAGGTATCGGCTAAGATTTGCGGAGTACAATTCAAAAAACAACTATAGGTCTAATAATGAATTATTGTGATGTTAAATAGACAATGTTAACTATCAAAGAGCGACGTTGTTTTTCATTGGGACCTTCGTCCCTTTAAGGCTAGGCTTATACCATCCTAGCTAGTCTAGACCTAGAGTAGGAAGGCTAGCGCGACAGGACGTTGGTACGAGTAGGTTAGTTTACAAACGTCGCCTAAATTAATTGATTACCCGGCAGAACGAAAGAAGGAAACTAAGCTTTTCAGTCGTCTTAGGCACTTATTTTTTTGACAAACAATGACCTTTCAGAGGTCAAATTGCTGTCAAGAATATGAATTGGCTGCTTCGCAGCAAAAATGTATTGCACTATTATCATCATCAGTTGCAGATCCAAGAATTTGAAACAGAGGGGGCCCAGGGAAGGACTTTCACAGGTGGAAGGTTATACCACCTCAACCCCACCTTGGTTGGGACTGAGGTAAGAAATTTTTTATGATTATCCTGCCTTGCTCTAGATGGCTGGATGGCACTTAGGCAATTTGAATATAATTTTATTTTTTTCTCCAATTTTTATTAATTTTGAAAAATCATAAAGGCATTACAGTTGGTAACTTTACTTACGCAATTAATTCTATTGGTGTGTCTGACACCCCAAGAGGGAGGCATAATCCTGCTGCCTTGTCCCCCGTTGTGTCAGGAGTAAACAACTCGGAAACAATTGTAGCTTCCACATTAGGCAGCGATTCAAGAATGTTGACACCACAGCTAAATCCATTGATCCCACCTCCTACAATAACAACTTTAACTTGTGGGGCCATCTGCAAAAAAATGAGTAGATAATAATATGGATAGTGAGAATAAAAAAAAAAAATATTTATGCTGGTTACATGCCCTGAGGTCAAAGAGGCTCTTCCTGACTTAACCATTTGTGGCAAAGAAAAGCTAAACCAGTCACTTGTTGCAAATCCTTTTTCAGAGATAATGGCCAAAGTATGTTGGAATGTCAAAATTTTTGAAATCTATTTTATAACACTAAACTAACCTTTATATATCAAAAATCATGGTATGCTGTTTTTTTCCTAATTTTAATGTTAAAACAACAATTTTTAACGATTTGATGATGATTTTTGCCTAAGAAATGCATGAAATCGTACACTTTGAAGGCTGATTTCTCACATATATTGTTTTTTAAACAGCTGTATATTTAAACTCCTGTAACTTCATAACAAAGAGTCAGATTTAAATTATTCTTTTACCATTTTCTAGCCCTCATTTTACTGACCTTTTATTATTAATAACTAAAAATAAAGAGCCAATTAACTTCATTTGGTACCCATTCATTAACAATTATTATTACTATTATTATTATTATTATTATTGTTTTATTATAGGAAGTGGATATATTTACGTCGCCGTAAACAAATCAGTAAACGATATATTTACGTAAATGAAACAACTCATGCGCAGTCATACTTTAATAAACTTGCATTTTCAGCACTGCGTGGTCTCCAAGCCGCGGGGATTCCCCCAAGTTCACCAAGGCACTGCTTAATTTATAATTTTTTTTTTATTCTTTATTAAACGTAATTTAATTTTCTACAACAGTACAGTATGTAGTTTAATCACTAAATAAATTATTAAATCATTGTGTTATCTTTTCAAATAAAAGTGATATTATGAGCTGAAAATGTTACGTTCGTTTTACTCAATCATTTGTTGAATGAACACACTTGACCTAAATACAAGGCCTAGGCCTACGCAAAGTTTCCTTGCTAAAACTCAATTACCACGAAATCAAGAAGATATTTTTCTAGGCCTACCTGTATTGTTATACGATAGTCAATCATCACAAATTAAATAACCATCTTAATGTTTTCATTTAAACAAATTTGCCCACGTCGTCACTAACTAAAACAACATCGTTATAGTCTTTAGTCGGGTTGAGCAGAGCCCCGATCGATCGCGAAGAACATACAGGAAGACCACGTTTGGAGAGCACATGATCCACTCTACAAAGTACTGTGCTATGAAGCAAGAAGTAAACAACGAATAATAATATGCGTGTGTTTTTTAATAATAATAATAATAACGATTTTTAAAGCGCAAGATATTTGTAAGATATTTAATCATTACAAAAAAGTGAGACCAGGGAGATGTAAAAAATACATAAAATACATCTCTCTGGTAAGACAAAACAGATATTTTTAATGTTTTATTCAAACATATTTTCTCATGTAATCTGATTACTAACAAAACAACATTGGCATGCTGTGCATGCGTCTACATTATTTGTATTAGCCTTGAATTCGATCCAACTCAGCCACAAGTCAACTCGGCCACAAGTCAACTCGGCCACAAATCAACTCGGCCACAAGTCAACTCGGCCACAATTATTATTATTGCTGCTAATGCTATTATTGTTGTTATTATTATTGTTGTTTTTATTACCATTAGTCTTAGCATTAAAATTATGTATTGTTAAAATTTTTGCTGATTATTGTTACCATATAAATAATACAAAAATCTTGATTTTTTTATTCATATTATTATTATTATATATTAGTCTTAATATTAATTATTATTTTAATAATAGTAATTTTAAAAATATTGTTATTGGTGTTTTATTGGTATTTTTTCATATTATTATTATTATTATTATTATTATTATTATTGTTATTGTTATTGTTCTTGTCACCTTTATTATCGATATTATTACCCTATTATTACTAAGTAGGCCTACAGTAGTATTATAAATATCATCATTATTATTATTACTAATTAGTATTTGACTATTATTATAAAAATAAACATTATCTTTATTTTATTATTGCTGTTATTATTGCTATTATCACCTTCAATGTTATTATCACTAATTAGTAATTATTAAAATATATATTTAAATATCGTTATTATTACCATATTAGTATTATTACTATTAGTCTTGTTAAAATAAATATTACTATTCAGGGATGTCACCACGCTGGTCGGCGGTGGACGGGCCCGTCCAGCACTCAACATTTCCGACCAGGATTTACAGGCTCCCGACCACCACTATTATCTCAACAGTTTACAAATTGTAACAAAATAATTAGTTTACCTAAACACAATAGACAAGCTAAATTGATAGATAAAGACAATAAGAATACAATAAATGTTTCCGTGGTTACGTCAATTGTAACAAAATACTGCACTGCCCTGCTATTCATCGCTAACTTAACAGCCTAGGCCCAGTTGAGTCATAGCGAACATCGTGGGCCGGCATGACACGGTTGCTCTGTACACATTCAAAGGTTATTTAAAGTTGAAATCGTGACCATTCAAGTGTTTGATTATGAGATCATGGTCCGGGGCAGGAAGATTATTAAAAATTTACGAAACCTGATTTATGTTTTATTTCTTTACTTTCTTTTCATTTTTTATGTTAAGTTTTTCACTTTTAATTATAATTGATATATAATGTGTGTAATGGACAAAAAATAAATAAATGAGTGCACATTAATCAGTGACATACAGTACACATTCATCGCGGTAATCGTCAAACATGTGAAATTACGACAAACAATGCGGCTGGGTACAGTCGGATCGACGCTTTGTCGCCGGGATTTGTTCATTATTATTTTTTAATCTAAAACAAAGCATGTCAACTATTGAATTTAATTAGGCCTACAGTAAGTCTCATCTTCATCTGTTTTGTTGCATTCCTCAAATTCTGGCCTAGGCCTACCTGGGCTGGGCCTAGCCAAAAAAAATCGCGTCAGCTAGCCTTGGGCCTAGGCCTGCTCGACTTACTTAGGCCTTTTGGTTTTTAAGAGCTTTCACGAATACAGCGACCCCCCCCCCCACCGGGGGGGGGGGGGGGGGGTCCTCATCCCCGGGAAAACGCAGAATGATCGCCGACCGGCACTTCAAAAAGCTGGTGACATCCCTGCTATTATTATTGTTGTTGTTATCACCTTTATTATCCTTATTATGACTAATTTAGTATTATTAAAGTAAATATTTGAAAAGGACCGACATGTCACTGGTGATTCACGTTATTGGATGCATCCTTGTCACTGACGGGTTTCAAACATAGCCCCCAATGGTTGAACAAATATGAAGGACTGAAGTTTGTCACTCAACAATACCAATTGTTCCTATTGTGGATAACTGATCTTAGATGCTGCACCCCACCTAATTTTAACGTAGGCCTAATTCTTGGGCGTGGTTCAGAAGAAAATAGTATCGAAATGCACGCCTTCATGCATTCATTTGATTTTAGTCGGATTCAAAATAAATTTTAAATAATCATAATGTGGTTTTTCTATTTCAATTTTTTATGATTAGTATGTACTCATGTTTTATGTCAGTGTTTTAACGTGAAAAAAATTAAACATTTAATATATGTTTTTCTTAATTATTAAGGTTGCTTAAATTGTTAATGTTACATTATTGTCAGATTTTATTCCATTCCGTAAGTGACAGGTTTTCTCTGTTGAATAAGAGTACAGTGTGAAGAAATGAATACAACGATCTCACGACGATGATTATAATTTTACTAAAATATACTGTGTACTTCATTTTAATCATATTGAAGAAAAAGGATGCAAAAACTGAGTATTATTATTTACACTTCATTTTAATTATAAATAACTTGTGGCTGAGTTCACTTGTGTGTGGCCGAGTTAACTTGTGGCCGAGTTGACTGCAGCCGAACTTTTTGTGGCCGAGTTGATTTGTCGCCGAGTTGATTTGTGGCCGAGTTGACTGTGTCCGAGTTGACCTGCTTCCTTAGCCTTAACCTGTGTCTAACAGTGTTACCCTACTACTACACCGTGGCTAGGTACTACTACTAGACCCTAGCCTAGGGATTGTATCACCCAATCAAATCATCCAGCTAAAACTTGTTACACTATATCAGGAATAAGAAAAGGTAAAATTGATTATACTTAGACCCTATCTATCTAAGTACAACATAATAAGCCTAAACACTTGGACTACCTCTCTTTCTCCCTCCTCTTACCTCTTGCATAAGCCTTGAGTAGGACATGCCCTCACACCTGGCTGATCCTACCTACTGTACCAGTGACACCACCAAAGAAGAACGTGCAAAAACTGCAAAGCGCCCTCTTTCGATTATAATTTTAGTTGAACAACAAAAAAACATTAACAGATCCGCGGCAAATTTAAATTTGTAATAATAATATCTATCTGTAAAATGTGTGATGCCGTAGCTTAATCATAAAGGAAACCCAATTCCATAGAATTTCTGTTCTCAATATCATTTAAGGTAAGCATCTCCTTCTTGGTACACCGTCATCAACAAATCTAGACTAGGCCTAGGCATAGGATAGGTCTTGACTCTTAGGACCCTTTTTTAGGCCTAGGCCTGGTTGGCCCTCGAATCCAGCAGGCTAGGCTTACCCATTGGGCCTAGCCTAGGCCTAGACCTAGTTAGGCGTAGGGGCCTAGCCTTAGGCTAGGCTAGTCTAGCCCTAGGCTAGCCGTGGCAGTATTGTAGAGTGACTAACAATGTAAGAGTAGGGCGCTAATGCACTTTAGAGTACTAAACCTTAACCTAAAAAAACTCCAGGAGACTGCAACTTGCAAGTCTTATTTAATAATATAATGTGTACAGGTTAGGGTGAGGCCAGCCAGGGTAGGGCTAGGCCTAGCCTAGGCCTACTAGCACTGAGCAGGTCAAAACGGCAATAAGCCTAAACCAAAACGCAATAGGCCCTAAACCAAGATGGCATTGATTTGAGTACCAAAAAACAACAATAGGCGCTAGACCAAACAGCAAAGTAGCAAAGTTTTAATAAGATGCCTTATTTTGTCTGTATTTTAAAGTTTTTATTTATTTGAATTTTTACTGCTTTTATATTGTGTTTCCCCCAATACTTTTATTGAACTTGAATGTTGTTATTATTATTATTATTATTCATTTATTAATTATTATTAAATTATTATTATTTAAATTATTATTATTATTATTATTATTATTATTATTTTTATTGTTATTGTGTTTGTTAATTGAATCAGAATGTCTGTTAATCTAATTTGAGTTTTATATTAGTCACACAGTTTAAAACCATCAAATTGAGGTAGATACGAGTTAACTAGCACCTTAAAGCTTCGGTATATTGCCGTTTGACTTATTGCCATTTTGGTCCATTGCCGTTCTGGTAAAAAAGTGTTGCCGTTTTGGTTTATTGCCGTTTTGACTTATTGCTGTTTTGACTTATTGCTGTTTTGCTTTATATCCGTTTTGACTAGAAAGCATAGCAGCCATGCTAGTTAAGGTAGAGTACTACAGTGCATTTTATGCTAGTGTCTGAAAGTAAGCACTGACTGGCAGTAGGCAGGCCTTTTTTAGGCCCCATGTGGCCTCCTACTAGAAGTAGTAGTAATATTAATACCTAGTAGATCAGGCCTAGTGTAGGCCTAGCTAGAGGCCTGACATCCACTGACCAGTGAGGTAGGCCTTAAATTAAGCCCTAGATAGTAGCCTAGGGCCTAGACCTATTTTGGACCAGGGCAAATCAGCAACAAAATTCACAGATTTGCCAAACCGGGGTAGCACATAGGCCTAGAGGTTTCTACAACGTGCGCTCTATAAGTCGACCATTATTATTATATTATATTACACTGCTGTGCTTGGTAGGCTAGGCCCTAGTAGCAGGCTAGGTCAGCAATCAGCAGAAACATACAGAAGTTTGAAAATAATAAGCTGGTAGACGCTCATACAGGGCATCTTGACCTAAAAAACGCACGCTAGGCCAGCTAGATTTGAAATACAAGCGAGCGACACTGAGAGGCCGAAATTTGGCATTTTATAATTTCTTTTCTTTGCTGTTTGCTGCGATAGTTCTTCCGATTTGATTGATTAAATCGGTACAGTTTGTGGGAAAATATATAGGCCTAGACGACAAAACAGAGTGCAAAATTATTAAGGTTAGAAATCTAGGCCCAAGCGCAAGCGCAAATATTATTTTTGGCTTGTTCTGGCCTGCGCATAACACACACTCGCGGGCCAGAGATGGCCACCCATGTTTTAGATTGTTGGCAGAAAGATACGGGGACTGTATGAGAACGGCTGCTTTGAGGGAAAATTTCAACACAAGCTTAGCTGAGTATTCTGTGTCGTTCAGATTAGATTGCATCTGATGACATTAATGGAGTAGTAGATATATAATGTTGATATAATCTTTTTAAACATTAATTAATACTTTACTGTGTGTGACTAGCCTGATCTGTAGGTTTTATTTATAGGTTTTTTTCATAAAAATCTCATTTGATATTTTACCTCAACCTCAATTTGTTCTTATTTTTTAAACAATTTTTTCCTCTCAGTGTTCTTATAAAATGTGTCCTTATAAAAAGAAGGTGTAGATATACATTAGGCAGATGTCCAACCCATGAAACTTAAAAATCATAAAACAATCTTTCAAGGTGTCAGTAATGCTTTGAGAGCATTTTATTGTTACCAAAAGGCCACTATTTAGCTGGTCCTGATAGTTTGGTACACTTTTCTAAAAATTGATTGCATGAAAATTCAGGAGAGTTGAAATGTTTGATTAATAGGAAATGTTATTGTGTTTTATTTGGAAAGCTACCTGAATGAAAATGTCGCAGAAAATTCAAGTAAGAGTTATTATTCGAATCCGCCCATCTAATTGGCCTAAATCAGACTTGTCAACTGATTCCACGCCTCCTAAAACTTGTGTCCACCAACTTAGTGCAAAATCTTTGGAGATTGTTAACTGGAGAAATGTTGAAGAAACATTAAAATATGAATTTGATGCAGTCCATAACAGTACAGCCTCACAGGAGGATATATACAAGTCCAGCGTGTCGTCTGTATTGAAAGAAGTTCTCAATGGCCAAAACGCAAGTATATTTGCATATGGCCCAACAGGTGCAGGTAAAAATTAACATATTTGAATAAATTCACAAAATATTTGTTTTTATAATTTTATGAACAGAAATGAACATTTGTCTCTAGTCTGAGTTCTGTCACTATCATGTTAATTATATTTTTTCAGTATAAATCAGTATATGTATTAATCAATGGTAAAATATGGAAAACCTAAAGAATTCAGATGTAAAAATAAATTACTCATTTAAAAGTAAATAAATTATTATAACTTTCAACAAAATACAGATTTATAAAAATCACAAATAATAGGCCTATCTTTAACATTAAATTTGGAAACTTCTGTTATTAAATAACCTTAACTCTGAAAACTCTGATCTTTGAGATAATTTGATTTGTTTCAGGTAAAACGTACACAATACTTGGGACAGACACTCAGCCAGGCATCATTCCTCAAGCAGTCAGTGATTTATTTGCACAAATGAAAGAAGAAAGTGAAAAATCTCCTACTTTGAAATATGACGCTTATATATCATATCTGGAGATATACCAAGAAAAGGTTAGCATTATGGTTTACTTTTGTATTTTATCATTTGGAAAGTGCCTTTGAGTGTGAGTTATCTTGAAAAGGGCGCTATATAAATGTGTTATGTAAATAGATAGTACATCAACTGCTATTCAAACTTTCTATTATTTCCTTTCAGGTCTTTGATCTGCTGGAACCGAAGGCTCAAGACCTTCCAATAAGGCAGGACAAACATAACATTATAATTCCAAACCTGGCAGAGAAAGAAATTGTGAACATTGAACAATTCAAGACATTGTTTGAACCAGCAAGTAAGAATAGGTGAGATTCATTATTAGTTCATTTGTATATACTGTTGCTGCAGACACAAAACTACGTTGTCATATTATGTGTAGAATGGATTTCCCACTTACAGGCAAAAATTGTAAAAATAAATATTTAAAAAAAAAAATTTAGGCCAAGTAAAACAATAAATTAATTAATCAGCCTGGCCCAATTGCATACAGCATAATGACTTATCCACAAAAAATGTGACGGGCAAAAATGGGGCCTCGATTTTAGAAAGTTCAGCTGAGAAAAATTTACTTAATATGATCGCCAACAAAGTAAATCAAAATTACAGTTAAACAAACATGCATATTAAGTGTGTCATAATATGTCAGTTAACTTTTGTAGTGCTTGTGTTATCAATAGTTTCATAATACTTTATTGTACTTCAGGTATGACAACTTGTAATTTTTTTGTTTATTTCAATAACTTTTAAGTGAAAATTTTAACATTTTTCCCATCAATGAAATGTGTCTATGTCTACCAATAATCAAAAATTTGAGAAGTTTTGTAGTAAAAGTCTGTAAATCATTTATTCTTTCGATCTTCAACTTATTGAAAGATTTAAATTACTTTGTGGTTTATGAGAAATTCAAAGTTACATAAATTTCACCTTCATGCTTATGAAGAGGCTTTTAATTTATAAATGAAGTGGTATTTCCTAATTGTCTGACAAAAGTATCAAGTTTTGCATGGTTCTTCTGATCTACATTATCACTTGCACTTAGAAAGCATCGGACATTTCAGTTTGACCCAAAAAGGGCCCCCAGTCTCAGAAAGCAACAGGGCCCCTTATTAGGTTATTATACATTTGTGAAATCAAATTGATATTAATTTTTATTTTTGTTGATAATATCAAGGATGGTTGCAGCAACCAAGCTAAACTCTAGATCAAGCAGAAGTCACACTATATTGCTTATAAAGGTAAGAATATTGATAATCATTCACTACCGATCCACAGGTAACCACTTATGATTATAATCAAACTTCCTCAGATAATTTTAGTCTCATAAGCCCATGTACACAGACACATATACCTGGTCCTCTGCCAGTATCTATTCAGATTCAGGTGTACCTGGTCAGTTTGACCAACAAAAAATTTGGTACGAATAGACTGTGCAGCAACAAAATACTCAAGCTTGCTCGGTAAGTATGAACTGAGCTAATTTTGCATTGTTTTTCCAAAAAACATGATTGGTTAAATTTCTAAGGACATGCTAATACTGCTTAATTAATCATTACTACCATTTTTGTGGAAATTGCTTGTTTCTTTAAGGTTGTCAAAAAAGAGCAGAGCGCTCCTTATAGGACACTAACTGGTAAAATGTATCTTATTGATCTTGCTGGAAGTGAAAACAACAAGAGAACAGGAAATAAAGGGGTCAGGTAATGTCACTATATCTTGACGTATTCATAGTGTACTGTATTTATGATTACAATACATTTGGAAAGAAACACTTGATCAATTCTTTACTGAATTAATATGGTTTAATAAAGTTCGTATTATATTTTTGTATTCTACTTACTTAGAAGTTTTTTAACTTAGTTTACTTTCGTCTTTAGACTTAAGGAAAGTGGTTGTATCAACACCTCCCTGTTTGTCCTCGGTCAAGTTGTCGATGCTCTAAACAAAAATAAGGTAAAATGCAAGCATGCTATATAAACTCCTATTTTTTATGATAGTCAATTGTCACATCATCATTCAATTATTTTTTCTGTCCCTGAGGGGGGCAGCACTTATCACAATAATGCCTTATCACATAAATTATCACCTATCATCACTGCACAATTGTTACTGTCGTTAAACATTATTGTCCATACAAACCGGTTCACTTTTCATTTAATCTTTTGTGCCCAGCCTAATGTAGTTTCGCCTAATCTTTGACTGTACTGTAGATTAGGACCTAGGCCTCATAATGTCTCTTGTAGAGCCCTGGTTCTCAGCATTTTTCATACTGATGTCCATTTTTGAAACACTCAACAATAAAGAACACACTCATTACTGTATCATCATTTGTTGTGGTAATTTCAGAAAAGGAATTGTCTTGGCTGTTTTTTTGGTAGAGTTTGATTGATTTGCAAGAACTCAAACAATTCAGACAACGATTAAATAAAATTTAAAAAAAAAATATTTCTGATAACTTGCAGTCTGTTTTTTCAACCGCAGTTCAAGGTTGAAAACAGAGCATTATTTCTTCCTTATGTTTGTGAGTCAAGTACCCGTACTTGCCGTTGGGTGTGAAAGAAATAAGACACAACATAGGCAATACAATAACAAATCTCAAGTTTAAAGGTATTAATAGATTGCCAAGGTTATTTTTGTTTATTTCAGCCAAGGATACCATACAGGGACAGTAAATTGACCCGTTTACTACAGGTAGTGTTCCTTAAACAAACATTTGAATTTGTTTTATAATATTTATTTTTATCTATTTGTTCTTTATACTGGGTTACCTCATCAGTATTATGCTATTGTTCTCCCAGAGGGCTCAGTACACCTAATACATACTGGTACGTAAGAATAAGTTTCCAGCAGAACTGGGAATGAACTACAATGTACTACTGTACTGTACTTTTGTGTTGTGTAAACAATAGCCACACAGTAGTGATAATATTAAGACTAGATACTGTCCGCTGTTTGTACTTTTAGTAATACTTGTGACTTCAAAAATATAGCACAATTAATAACCTACATCTAGTTACTATAAATAAGTCCCATCTAAATAATATAAGGAGACTATACAACGTTTAGTTTAGATACTGTATATTGAATTTGGTTAATGTATATAAATATGGATCATTATATTTTTATATTATTAATACTATTTTGACAAACATAATTACTGTAACTTTCTTTTAGGATTCTTTGGGGGGTAATAGCCATACCTGTATGATCACCAACATCTCACCTGAGGACAGGTCTTACAAGGATACGTACACCACCCTGAACCTAGCTGCCAAGTCAAAAACCGTCATTAACAAACCCTTCAAAACTGAGATTTATGGTAAGATTTTTCATATCTTCAGTGGTCTCTTTAATTAAATTATTTTTAATTTGTCATTTATTGTATTTATTATTATATTTTAATTTATTTATTGAATTCATTGTTGAATTTATATATTTATGTTTTTGATTTGCTGTACAGTATGTATTTTTATATATTATATATTTATTATGTTTTATTAATGTTTCATAGTATATGCCATTGAATGCCAAAAAGATTTAGGTCATATCTTCACCATTTTTTTTTGACTGTACCTCTTCTGTATTTGCTCTTTCTTTGTATTTAGTTTTTTTTTTCTTGTCCATTTGGTAAGTCTTGTCCATCTTTACATCTTTCTTTACATTTCAGCTATTAAGTTAAAATTCTTATCTAAATATATCATAATTTCTCTTTTTTTCTATTGTACTTTTAGAAAAATCCAATTCCCAGACAACTAAGAGAAAATTATCAGCTCAAGAGGGTCCTGTATGTCTAAAGAAAAGAAAACCAAATGATAAAGAGCTGGGTCATGAGAAAACTAGCTTAGAAGATCAAAGACCAGTTTCTCAGGTACAGCCTGCTAAATTTCTCAGTCCGTTCTTAAGAAAGCAAAGACACTTTCAAGAAGATATGACAGCTAAGTTACTGTCTCTAGAGGAGAAGCTGCTGAAACTTCAAGATCGTGGCACTTCCCCAGGTGTGGTCACAAGTAGCCTTCACAAAGACCTGATAGATGACATCCAGAAAAGCAGAAATGACATGGAATGGATGGTGAAACAGAATAACGAAATTAAGACAAGGCGGGGGGAATCATCGATTCTTGAGGGAGAAGAGAGCCAAGTAAAAGACAAATGGAAAGGTTTGTATTACTATACATAATTAATATATTTTTAATTTAATGTTTGTATTAGGAAATTTCATAGGAGTGTTGTTTTGCTTGTTCAAGTATTTGGGAACATAATGAGTATTTATACGATTACATGTCTGGTATGACAAAACATCACTCCTACAATATGTTTTTCTTAAGCTCATAATGATGTGAAAAAAATATAATTTCGTCTTGACATCATATAGTGAAAAAAAAATCTCAATTTCTTTCAATGAATTAATCAGTAACCGTGAAAAGAGCCCCTTTAAATTTTTAACTGCTTAACCATGGAATAGCTCTCCAGTCAACATCTGTACGGCTTCTGTTTTCACAATTTACCAAACTGAATTTTTGTTTTTCTCTTGACAAAATGTGGTTTTTTAGCTAGGACTGAAATTAATATTTATTTTTGAAAAAAAGAAGGAATTCCTGTAAATGTTTGACCTTTCAGTGTATCAGTAATGTTGTACATTCACCTTCTTGTTTAATAAGCCATTTTTTGTTTAATAAGCTTCTGTTTACACAATTTACCAAACTGAATTTTTGTTTTTCTCTTTACAAAATGCTTAATGTGGTTTTAGTTAGGACTGGAATTAATATTTATTTTTTGTTAAAAAGGAGGAATTCCTGTAAATGTTTGACCTTTCAGTGTATCAGTAATGTTGTACATTCAACTACTTGTTGTTTAGTAAGCCATTAGATTAGGTGTTGGTTATGTTGATCTTATATCCATATGTGATATAAAACAACATTAACAAAGTTTCTATATGAGTTAATTCCTGCAGGGATCTCTGTTTTCCTGTGTGGTGTCAAATAAATTATAAAATTTCTTTACCACTCGCTATGTATTTTTAAAAATTTAGTTCAAGGCAAGCTCATATCATAATTAAAAATTTAATCAGTTTATATGATTACAATTTTCTTATTAAAAATCAGCCACTATACATAAACCCAATGGTTTTTATGTTGATCGGTTTGTTGATTATTGAACTATTAAATGATTGAGTCATACAGTACTTTGCACTAAATCCTATAATTATTTTTCATGCATTAATCTAACTTTGTATAATAATTTCCAATAGTGTATGATATGCAAATCTACTAATTGCTTATTTATTTATTTTATATAGAAGATAAGATTCACTTTATGAAGGCTGTACAAACACAAATACTGTCAGTAAGTATTCATTTATCTTTCAGTGAATTTCCAAACCATATTCACATTTAAAAACAAATATAATTTTAAGAGTAAACTCTCCCAACACTATTTTTCCCAATAAACTATTACTGATGTAATGTTGAATGTAAACAATGTATTAATAGGATAGTTAAATGCTTTAAATTTATATAATTAGGAAGAAATATACATATCTCATTTTTTGATATTTCTGAAATTTACGGAGGAGAAAATAAAAATAAAATTTTATTGGTGAATGTAAATGGGATGGTTAGGTGTTTCAAATTTATATAATTTGGAAAAAATTACATATTTTATCTTCCGAGATTTCAAAACAGCAGAGGTCGTAATGAAAACTTTTTTAAAAACTTTTATTTTTTTCTGAAATTTCCATTTTTTTGTGGCGACGGGTGCACAAATTGGCCAAAAATAAGATTTAATTTTTATTTGAAATCATTAAAATTGGCGTTCAGCAGGTTTCGCTTAACAAGGTATAAAAAAAGTCTCACCTAACAGATCTTGGAGCAACTTCACTTTGTCGGCTAAAGTTAAAGAGATGTATATTTATTTATCTTTTTAATGAAACCATTACTTTACATATAATCAACCAATCAATGACTTGCACACCCGTGCCCCCCCCCCCAACCTTAATTATGTGGTAGTGTACATAGACTGATACCCTATTAATCTTTGACAACCCTATCTGAATGAAAAGTTTAGACTCTCATATGTTTAAAAAGAAATCATTTGTTGTGTGTATCCTATGGAAATAATATTGTACAGTACTAATAGTGCGGAAATTAGCCCTTCAGTAAGTGGCAAGCCAAAACTTAACTTGAATGGTAATACAGTAATTTGATATTTTATTCAGGATGAGAAAGAAAATGTGCCACAGAGGGTGTTCCAACCAGACCCAAACCAGCAAGCTAAACATAGTGAGTACCAAGGAATCAAATACTTTATACAAGATTCTTATACTCTATTCAAACTACACTCTGTTGCGATATGTTGCAATGTAATCGGTGGTAATCCAAAACTGATTACTCTGTCTAACTGATTTTGTTGAAGATTTTATTTTATTTCTACAATTTCAGATCTCTCTGTGTTAAATCTACTAAACTCAGGGTCCATCAAAGAACTACGGTCTCTGCAAAGTGTTGGTTTGAAACGAGCAAAGCTAATTGACAATTGGCGGCAAATGTATGGAGCATTTCAGAGCATCAATGACCTCATTAACATCCCGGGCATGACCTTTAAGATCGTTGAAACTATCAAGAGAAATAATCTTGTCTCATTTTGAAAAACGATTTTAATGAGTTTAAATCATGCCTGTGATTAATTGTACATAAATAATGAGTTTGTATATATAAATTTTCTCTTATAATTTGACATCTTAATAATTGATTATGTGGGCTTATTAATTTTTATATACCTGTTTAATAAAACATCCAGATATTTCCTTACTGGGATTGGTTGTGTTGTGATGCATAATGTCGTATAAATGTAAATAATTCACTCAGAGTGCCACCAATCAGTAGGCAATGTCGAGCAGAGATGTATTCGTCAGCCAATGATCATACGACCAGCTTTTGAATTGTACAGTTAGCATGAATGTGGCATACACTTGTGAGAGATGTTGGGTGCTACAATTACTACTTTCCGTACCTGGGCCATTCAATATTTTATACGAATACAAGGATAGTAATACTACAAAAATCTCATCTAGAATCGTCCTAATCCTGTGCCTTACAATGGCTTGTCGCTAAGCTTATATGGAGTGATGCACCTGGCACGTCATCACAAATTTATTTTAGAGCGTCTTTAATGAATTCGTAATTTCAAAAATGGGCTATTTAATGTAACTGAGTATGCTAAATCAGTTCTCAAATTATATAAAATCGGTAAACTTCTCCTTTAAAATGGAACTTGCATCAGTTTTCAAAAAAATGTGTCCTTATTCAAGCCGTCGAAAGCATTTTTGCAAGTGGTCCCATTAGCAATTTTTTTCCAAGATAGCAGTGTGACTAGCAATGTGAATCAAATGGCCGGAGGTTGATGAGAATATGCTAGATTATTCCAAATTAAGTAGTGGAAAATTGTACAGATACAGGTACACTCCCATCCCGTCGGACAAGCATGTTCACTTCCCCAACCCTCTGTTGTCCAACACCACGACGAGGTCGTGGGACAAAAAATAATAACTTGAATGTTCAAATAACATTATTTTGATTGCCAGTCCTTCGGCCGTTCCAAGATAAAACAACGTAACTTAAGAAAAATACATAAGCAGTTACGTTGTTTTGCCATGGGATGGCCGCCTTGTGCTCCTGTTGGCAAATTTCTGGAGCCACCACACCATACAGGATTAGTAGGGGCTAGAGAATATACCCACCTTCCTAAGCACCGTTGGCTGCGGCCGAAGTGCGCAAATTTTGAAAAATCACCCCCCTAGATGCAAGGAAATAGCAGTTAACCCATAGAGCTGCTGCGCCTTCTCCAGAAACCGTCCTCGCATGATTTAAAGTTAGTAGAATACAACCCGCAGCCACTTCAGCTCCACCATTGTGTGCAAAGTTTGGAAAAACTGCATTCTCTAGATGCCATGAAATAGCAAATTCATATTTCTAAAAAGTCGAATGTCCTTCAAATGTTTTAATTTTTATTACCTCACGTAATCAGAGCTCGATTCGGCTTTACCCGTATGCCTTGTGTGTTGATGACAGTTTGGCCAACTCAAACCACAAATTTTATATTAATTGTTAAAAATTATTTTTATACCTCTATGTATTTTCAAAAGAATGAGAAAAGTGGTCCGGTTATAGCCGGTGTGACCGATGCGGTTCTGATGGCCCTGTCATTTTAATAATGTTCATATATTTGCTGTTAAAGGAGAAGTTCAGCATACTCAGTTACATAACGCTCTCAAATATGTTTGTGATGCCGTCGTAGGAGCATCGCTCTATTATTATGCAACATATTTATTCAGGATACATATTTAATGAAGTTAAATGTACAATAATATAATCTACCATATGGTCCTGATTACAACAATTAAATAAAGGACTTTTTTGCTTACGTTATTATCGGTTCACAAACTTAAAGGCCTGCCAAGACCTATTTATATGGTTCAATAATACAGTAATGGTATTGTTGGTTAACTGCATAGCAATGCATAAGTGTATCGTTCTTTCTTCTCTATCCGACCTTCAAAATATGTTTTTCATACAAACACTTTTTCTTCTTCATTGAATACCCGAGCTTTTCGATATTACTTTTATATGAATACAAGATAGTACGGTAATACAGTAATACGAAGAACTCGTCATGGCAACATCCTAAACGTCTGCATTACAATGTCCTGTCGCTAAATCTAGATGAGAGCGTCTACGTAACGAACGCGCACGAGATTCGTAATTTTCAAAAATTAGATATTATGTATGTGTGCTAAATCAGTTCTCAAATTAGTTCTCCTTTTATTGGCTGTACTAAATACCGGCTAGGCTTAAAAAATGATGTGCCCAAGTACTGCACAGTGAAAATCGTTGTTGGTTGGTCGGTCAGTCAGAAATTTTTGACACTATAGACTGGCTTATTTCTAGGATTTATGATCAATGAATTTTTGTTGTTAAACTGTTAACCACAAGGCTAGACCCTTAAATCATTGATTAAGACATGGAGGAATTAACTAATTCCTCCATGAGTAAAAGGTATCAGATTTAGGCCTATTTATTAAAGCTTAAGAAGGTTGTATTTTTGGCCCTGGAAAAAAAAATAGGTATGCCCCTATGCTTGGGAAAAACAAAGTGTCGAAGGTTTGTTTTATTTACAAATTTATGATTTTTACTTAATAAGGTGATATTGAACACTTCCACTAAGCCCTCTCCCTTGGATATTCAGGTTTCAGTTTTCCACCCCAGCCCCACCAAGGTTGGTGTAAAGCTGTTTTGGCACCTGGATGGCCGGAAATAGTTCCTGGCAACCGCAGAGCTCTGGTACCCTGACTATTGCACAGATGAGTCCAATGTGGTGGCTGTCTCTTATACACATCTAGATGTGTATAAGAGATTTCTTGTTCTGTCGCTGGAAGACAGATTTTGGACGGTGGGTGGGGGAGGGGGTTTGGAGGTCCTCCTTCGGAATGTTTTGGTTTTGGAAATGTACTTTTTCTATTCTGGGATATCCGTTAATGAAACAGTAAATACACTCCAAATTTATTTATTTTGTATGGATTAATGCGAGCAAAGCGAGCTCATGGTTGTGGCCAGGAGACATAATATATGAGATTAGTAATCAATCATTCTCTACTGTACTATTTTAATGATTTAAGGAAATTTAAATTTAAATGGGTCTGAAGCTGCGAAGCTATTAGTGGACTTTCTTATGTTGTGATCATATTTATATATTTATATATATAACATTATTATACTAGGACATTTAACAAGCTACATAAAGTGTATGCATACCACAATCATTTGGTTAAAATTTTCACTTCGATGCATGCATAAAACCTAATTCCTTTGAATTTGGATATACAGTAATAATTATGAGATTGATAATGTTTCTCTGTACCATTAAACCGTACTATTTTAATGAGTCGACTTATGATTTAAGGAAACATAAATTTAAATGGATCTGAAGCTACGTGTTTAAGTATTCTATGGTTAGAAGTGAGTGGATTTCCTTATGTTGTCCCATATTAGACCGTAATATTATTAGGCCATCTAAGCCCATTCATCAAACAACAAAAAAACATAATTCATACCATTCCTGTCGTTGTCAGGCCAGTAGCTAAGGAGTGGGAGTTAAACGATTTCCCCTCTCCCTGTTGAAAATCAAAATGGTAATTGAGTATGGGGGAAAATGACAACAACATAAAACAAATAATTATCTTGTTAACTATATATAGCCTCAAAAAGGCCTAACCAGGCTATACTAGATGAGTATTCACTTTAATGAGTGATTTTTACTGGCCCTGAGGGTGGAAAAGGCCCGGTGGCAAATATTTTCAAAATCAACTTTAATTACGGTACTAAAGTTAAGGATTGTCAAAAATAGGCAATACAAAAACAAGCGCATTTGTTGAACTTTTGTTTCAAAATAAATCTTAGGAAGACAATGTGATGCCAACATTTTGATAATAAATTCATATAATTTATAGGTATTATTAGTATAATTTATTTTAAAAGTAACAGAATTGAGAAAAAGTGGTCCGGCCAAAGGCGTTGCTGTCGGTGCCGCGGTTCCGACGGCCCTGACAGTGATAATAAAAATTGTTGCTAAGATCCACAAAACTATAGCGTAAACGTGCTTTGTAGGCAACACGTGTTTGTGGGACAGGCGCGTACGTGTGACTCTGTTCTGATTGCTAGTGTTTGGATAATATGATAAATAATAAATATGATGTGTATACAGCACTCATGCCCATTTGAAGAAATTCTTAAGGCTTTTGAGAAAATATATATCGGGGAAAAAAAAGGAAAATTGGGAAAACCGTGTTATTTTTCGGTGGTGATATTATCCATATTGTTTTGTTTATTATTATTATTATTTTTTAGGGTGGGGGTAGAATTAAAAACAGAATGTATAAATGTGGCCTCTGCTCATAAATGATTTACTTATAGGCCCTTTGTAATGAAATTAGCATATTTTAAGTCTGAATTTTTTTTTTATTAAATTGAAGTTGACAACATTAAACATCGAATTCATCATTGTCAATGAAACCATTTCATAAATGGGGAATACATCCAATGTAATGTCTGCATTTTTTCTCAAGTATAGGGCTCTGCTAAGGTTTTTTGTGAGACGTAGTAAATGCATGGTAAACGTACCCCATTCTTTGTAGAGTAAAGTCTGTGGAATCTGTGTTACATGAACCGACAGTTGTGAAACAGTGTATGACATTATTTTGAAAGTTCTTTTTAAAATTTCACATTTCAACACTTTCGTGTGAAACACTTTCCTGCATACTCGACTAACTTTTTTTTAGGCCTGGACCTATTAATATACAAAACAGGGCCACCGGAACAGCACCGGCTTTGGATCGACCACTTTTCTCAATTCTGTTAGTCTTTAAATAAATATCTGATACTTATGAATTTGTGAAGAAAATTATAATCCAATTTGGCTTTATTTAAGCGAATAGATATCTTCTTCTTCTAATAACCAAATGGACGTAAGTTCATAAAAAAACACCACATATCTCAGAAATAACACAAAAAAATTTTAAAAACGATATGTTCCGGGTGACCACCAACCCATCATCAGTAATTAACAGAAAGAAACAAAATGGATACGTGTATAATATACTCAAATACAACACATAATTACAGTCAAATGTGTTATTGCGTGATCATATCCCAACTCAGTTAAATATGTAATTCTACTGGAGCGGAACATTGATAGACTGTTGAGAATGATGTTGTTTCCATTGTGTTTGTTTGAAGTAATTTAGTGGGTGTTATTCGAGGAAAAATAAACGCCTCGGGGCTTTTATTCGAAGGAGGGAGGCGTTTATTCCAAATGAAGGGCGTTTATTCGAGGGGGACGTATATTCAAACGGGGGCGTTTGTTCGAATAAAGACGGTAGTTAAACAAAAGACCACAATGCGCTTGTTTTTTGTTTTTGTATTGGCCATGTATAGGCCTAATTCAACTTTTTTTGACAATCCTTATTTTTAGTAATTAATTGATTTTTAGGATGTTTAGAGGTATAGATATACATATATTATAATATACCGGCTATAACATTTTTTGGGTGGCCAAATTGTCATCACCACACAGGTAGGTAAAATATCCCAACTAAATTTAAATGTTGTGACTGCCTCTTGAAGGGGTAGCTGTTGAACAATTGCCAGCTGCTTTTTTTTTTGGGAAAAAGGAGAGATGAAATATTTTCAGAAATTTGCTCACCTCAGCCCCGGCTGAGTTGAGTATAACCACTAGTCCCCACTAAATTTAAATCGTGTCTGCTAATGTACACGATGAGTAGAGGTTTGCCAGCTGCTGTCTCCGGAATTTGCTCATCTCAGCCGCCGGGTATAGACTGTTTCCATGCTAACTTCAATGTTGTGGCTGCCCTTTGTGGGGGGGGGGATAGCGGCTCTGTTGCCAGCATCTATTCGGTCATCCAGGCGACAAAAAGTTGTTCTGGGGTGGGCATACACTCAGACCCCACTAAATCTAACTTTAAACCATATATACGTGGATAGGGGTTGCGGGTCTGCACAAATTTGTTAAACGCCCGCGCTCCCCCTATAATTAAGAAATATACAATTTGGAAACGCATCATTCTATCATTAGGTCTGAGTGAAGTGTACAAGCGATCGATAAGTGTGTGAAGGTTTACTGTTTTCAAATGAGATGTTTACGATTTTCCACTGACGATTTGTGTTTGTATCGTATCTAGGTATGTTTTCCTCTACTCTTGTTTTACGTGGCTGTAAAACATCTAACAACAAACACCACATTGAGATTGAATTCTATAAGTACAGTAGTTAGCTAACACGTGTATTTTATCATTCGTTCCTTCACACACACACACACTATATTTCCGCTGTCTCTTATACACATCTAAGTTTCCTTGATTTGTATGTTTAAATTTAGCTGAATGAATGAATCTATCCGTCCATCCATTTATTCATCTATTAGTCCATCCATCAAATCATTCATTTGTTCGTGGGTTATTCCATAAGTATGTGGGGAAAGGTGTGACATTCCCCACATTCACGACCCCAGCCCGGGGACATAGCTTCTAGTATTTATATCGCCGTTGAACATGAGTAATAATCGCGTCCCTTGGCAAATTCCATGCTGTCGGATGTTGCAGTTGTTGAGTTATGTTTGAACTTTTAAAAAAATGATTTAAAATTTATGGAAAAAAAATCGCTGGCAAAGCCGTCTAGCTAATGATTACCATATATTGGCAAGATGCTGGTAAATCAATGCTAGTAACATGTGCCTGCTCCTGCTAGCCTTTAAAAAAAAAACTAGACACTATACTAGTAGCATGCTATAGTGAGTTCAGTGAGGCTTCATAAATCGAGGTATTTCAAACCATCGTAATCAAAAGTGAAAGTTCAGACTACAGTATTGTTTGTAAACTGCTAAGCCTCCCACTCGCCTGGACTTTTAAACGACTTAGTACGGGGTGATTGTTTTGGTAAAAGGCGCAGTTCATAATTCATCCTATTAAATTTTATTTTGCAAGCTTCCTCGTTTAATCTCTTGAATGGTTCCTGAGCAATAGGAAATACGTGGCGATGTTACGGTCTCGATTGCTGGTTATCGTGTAGGATAGCATGCAAGTGAGGCCATTATTTTTATAAACACGTTTGTTAAAATTTCCAAACGGACACAATCTGAATGATGATTATGCGATAATTGAGAAAGTTACAATTGTTCATCAATAGAAGTAGGCCTACAGACAGTAAAAGGCAGTTAAAATATACCAATTCTATTTAGGCCTACGTCGTTGAAAATGTAAGTGATGTGCTCGTAACAACTTCGTAGCCATATAATATATGCAGTATTGTATTTGTATCACCTATTGTATTTAATTTCACAGTAATTACCACTGTATGATTCGCATCTCTGGCGTTTCCATTGTCAATAGCATAGACTAATAGGCCTACTTATTCTACTGCCGCAGTTTGGAGCTTTTTTTTGTAATATGAACAGTGACCTGCGTGTTTTTAAAATTAAACAGGCCAGTTAATGGTTCATTGCTGCTTTCAACAAGTTTTGTTTGCGAAAATTGAATGTACTATATTATAATTAATTATATTTTTTGAATAATAATGAAATGAAAATTCATGATAGGCCTACGCGTGGCTGGTTACGAGGATATGTTATTACGGCATGGTAATTGAAATATCATATGAGGATTTGTGTAAACTTACCCATGGAAATAATAATAGATATTCGAGACGTGTTGCGTATGTATATACATGACGTCATAATACTCACGACTGATTTTGTCAATGTGAATTTTCAGTGCTGTATTGATAGTCACGAGTGAGCAGCTTAATAGAAAAAGGCGTTTTGTTGGAAAGGAATTTCCTAGCAACTTCCGGGTTGAATTAACAAGTAAACAAAACAGAATGTGTTAACAGTAGGCCTAACACAGGAGAGTAGGTCTGTGCAGGGAGTTGGTCTGTGATCCATTTTGCTTGTAAACTGGTGTTGCTCGTAATCGGGTCACTTGCTTTTACACAAGTAACGTTTCCCTCATTATCGTCGAAGAGAGTGGGCGCGGTTGTAAACCAGACTACAGGTACAACGTCCAATACCATTCACACATTTATTACGTACCGGCGAACAAGGTTATAGTGTCGTCTGGGACTATATTTCCGTTCTCGAATCTTCACTGTAGTTCTCACAGTTACGAATATGTTGGATGACATCGACCCAATATTTCAACAGACAAAGTTTAGTTTTGAGGAGGATTTTCACGCTCAAAAATGGCTCGATTGGTTCGAGAATTACTGGACTCTGTCCATAATCGCCAGCGTTATTTATGTTGTGGTGATTTTCAGTATACAGAGATTAATGAAATATAGAGAGCGTTTTAATCTTCGTCCGGCTCTTATACTATGGTCGCTGAGTCTCGCCGTGTTTAGTACTGTTTGTGCATGGAGACTATGGACCGAATACCTTCTCTATTACCGAAAATTTGGACTTAAGGCTACAATGTGTGACGAACAGATCGGTTACCACGGTGTGAATGGGTTTTGGTCGTTGATGTTTGTGCTAAGCAAGCTACCAGAGCTAGGGGATACTTTGTTTATCGTTCTTAGGAAGCAGCCTTTAATTTTCTTACACTGGTATCACCATATCACCGTGTTCGTGTATTCCTGGTACAGTTACCAATATATGGTTGCTCCTGGGCGCTATTTCATTGGCGTGAACTGCACTGTGCACGCAGTTATGTACTCGTATTATACCCTGCGCGCTTCACGACTCTTCAAGATCCCTCGTTTCATTAATGTCTGTATCACTCTCTTCCAGATGTCGCAAATGGTTGTGGGTGTCACTGTTAACTACCTAGCATACAGGTTCCGTTCACGTGGCGAGCACTGCTCAACCACGGATATAAATATTTTAGTGGCACTCCTGATGTATGCTAGTTATTTAGTTTTGTTCGCACATTATTTTTACAAAGCGTATATCAGCCGGTCGACTAAGCCGACGAGCACGAAGAATATGGAAGTTAACGGTAACGGGGTTCATTCTAATGGAACGGCCCTCCACCTCAAGAGAGCTCACTTGAATGGTAACGGTATTAAAGTAGACTAGCCGAGTAAACATTATATGGTAGCCTACTTATTGACAATAATCGCAGGTATTCTCACCATCAGCATGTATTAAATTTGGACATTCCATAATGTTCACTATAGAGTAGACTTTATAATTGACGCTTTCTTTAGAAACAGACGCCAGTCATGCTGTTGCTTAATATGGTTCAAAGGTTCGATTTGAGAAGCACGTTTCAAACACGCGCATTTGTCATGATGCATACTATCGTTACTATAATGATGAATGTTGAGCAAATAGACTAAACTGATGATGTTGCCACTTCAACTTCCCGCCTATGAGAACATAGGAACGCCACATTTAGACTGCACATGCTCACGTCAGCTACAAGTAGACAGTTTTTATACCTGTATACCAAACTTTATTGATTGATCGATTTTTATCTCCATTTGGCACAATGAAGCGATTTTCATCAGTGATTAATTTCAATGTTCGAAATCTACGAGTGCCGAATGTTTCAGGCTATGCAATTTTATATTGATCATTCATCAGTATCGGCAGCCATTGATTATTGGATCGACTTGAATTTTGACACATGAACTGGTAACTTTCTCATTATGCTTAAAAATATTTGCCATGCCACAATAAATTGGGAGATTATCATTCTAAAAAAAAAGATTATGGTTGCTGGATATATCGATCAGAACTTTTGGAACATAAACGATCGTTAATGGACCTTTCTTGAATTTCAGTCAAAGTAGACGAAAAGACAATTGGCCAGTCAGAAACAGGGTCAGCAATACGCCTTTGTCCCACTAGGCACTCGTGTTGTCTCACAAACGTATGTGTGTCGTTTTATAGGACCTAGCAACACCAACCAATATGCGGGACTTTAGTGGTATGGTCCACTGATTGATCTAAACTGATATAATGACAACAGATGCCGTAGGTTTACCCATGGAGGAAATATGTTAATATATTTCCTCCATGGTTTACCTAACAGTTTTACGTTATAATAACGTGGCAGTTTGTTATTATTCAAAACGCTTGTTTGTAGTACCACGCATACTTATAACGTAATTTTTTACTAAGTAATATTGCAAACGTTGCTGAAAACATTGCGTTTACGATATTTATTCTAATCACAATGTTCTTAGCGTTCGCAAATGTTATGATAACGTTGTATGCTTTCTGGTACCTTGTAGTATGTATGTGAACGAGGGATTGTAGCGCTGACAAGGAATACTTGGAAGTTAAACACGTGTCAGAGATGAGCACGCTTCTGGTTATTTACATGATGCGCTATGATAAAATTATAGTATGGTAGATATGAAGTGATTATCACAATTATTTGTGTTTAAGAACGGATCTCCTACTTCAGGATTAAAGGGCGAGGTCGAAAACAGTTCATAAATACAAGTGTTAACTGATCAAAATTAATGAAGCGGATCATCAACAATAAAGCCAGTCAATGCAAGATATGTAATCCAAAGAAATGCTAAATATCGGTGTGCGTAAAGGTGCATGTCGGCATGGTGTCGCGTAGGTTATAAAAAAAATAGATACGATATATCTAAAATATTATCTACTTTCCTTTAGATTATTTAAAAGTTCTTTTATAAAAGTAATACTATACAAAAAGACAGGAAAGTCTATGAATATAAGCCTCTGTATCAGTTGGTAACAGCTGATGTTTATTTTATTTACGTTTGATGAATTTTGGCACGATTTTAACCATTTCAACTCAACTAATGAGTAGTGCTAATTCTATCTTTATGACATCAATATTCAATATGGTTTTTATGTGCACTGTATTATGTTTTTTTTTTATGTTTTGACACTTGTAGAGAAAGTGCCTGGGGTTAGAACTGCGCCTATACCGTATGGTATTTGTGGTCTAGCGATATGACTCTTGACATTAAATGATATTGGTGATATATCACATTGATTATAAACCATAGATTTTCTGGTTCAACTTCGCCTCATGGGCATCAAGTGGGGAGAATAGGCGTTAAGAATTTTAAGGTGCAATACCATGAACCTACCGTTGAAAACTTTTCTAATTTTCTGATTTTAATGCAAGGTTACTATGAATTTGATATGCAGTTGAGTAAATAAAATTAAATCGTTCTTTATATATATATAGTTTAATATGTGACCTAATTATATTATTTGCAATTTATTAAATTATTTAATGTCGAAGTTATACTGGCGCCAGACCTCAGCAATTGTGAAGTTTTTCCTCTTAATTAAGTTTGCGTAGTGTGTTTAAAATTTCTATTTCACATCGTTTTTAAGTCAGGGTTATAGCACAGCTTACGGTTTGTTGACACATGGTATTTTAAAAAGCAGTGTGACGGGAAAATGATTGATTAGAAAAATTAAAACTCATTTATTATAAGCCTATGATGAACAGATTACGCATTGTGTGCGGGTTAAGAACCACGCATTCCTATTTATATTACTAATATTGATTACATTTTATCTTCAAATAATTTAATATGTTGACTCAAATTTATTGATGTAGACTAAAGCACCCTTAATTTTCATGACTTGAATAAATATGATGTTAAGGTTACTTCCGGTGTTACTTCAGTACTAAAGTACCATAAATAATTTATTGTTAAATGTGCAGCGTTGTTTGTTCTCTTGATAATATGAACAACACAGCACATCCTCCATCGTTGTCATCATCATCGTCATTATTATCATTATCACCATCATCACCACTATCACTATCGTCATCGTCATTTATCATTATCAGCATCATTACCACCATCGTTATTTTTGAAGGTTTGCATGGCGAAGTATTAATATATTCCTCCAATCAGCAGCAGGTCTCACTACCCAAACATAAGTATATCCTTGTTTGGATTATCTGCAGGTATTCTCTCCTAAAGACGATTGAAGCAACTCAAACGAAACGTCGAGACATTCTCAACAAACAATAGTTATTTTCAGAACTCTACATGGTGTACCGGAAGCATTAAAGATGTATTGTCCCATGCTAAATACCAAAAAAAAAAATATTTTTTGAAACTAACTTGCCCATTTTGAAGTAACATAAAAGTTATCAACTTGAACAAAGAAATTAGTGTATTTAAAAAAAAGTTGTCTTTCTGAAAAGTCAGTGGCGGATTCAAAGGTGGGGGGGGGGGGAAGACTCCTTCCCCACTAAATAATTCAATTTTTTGTTTTAATTGGAGATATAAAGAAACTTGTATTCAAATTTTAAATCTTACCTCAACCCCAACCATGGTGGGGCTAATGTGGTATAGATCCTGTCTCTTATACATTGTATACGCCTATAATTTGTATTACAAGGGCCTCTTAATGTCAAGACTATACTCGTGAGAATAGTTATAAATAAGCCTAATCTATTAGAATAAAGAGGACTAAATAACATCTTTCCGCTAAGCCCCATCCGTTGGATATTTTTGCTAGGTCCCCCAAAACAATAGCGTGGACGTATAAGTAAACACGCGTTTGTGGGGCAACATGAGATGTGTATAAGAGACAGGGGGAAGACTCCTTCCCCACTAAATAATTCAAATTTTTGTTTTAATTGGAGATATAAAGAAACTTGTATTCAAATTTTAAATCTTACCTCAACCCCAACCATGGTGGGGCTAATGTGGTATAGATCCTCCATCTGTGCAAGTACCTCCCTGGGGCCCCTCTATTTTGCCTGGTTCTGCTACGGAAAGTGTTATTAAAATGTTTACACGTGATGCTTACAGTTCAAATACCGTAGCTTACATTAATTTTTATAACGCATGTAACTTGGATTTCAGCAATATTTGATAGCTCATAAAATTATGATGACAATTGTGTACCAAAGGTTAACAATGTATCTCCACGGTTCATCGCACTACAGAGGCTACCACCAGTTTATAGCCGAATACAAAAGCTGCTGCTCAGTGATAAATTGAAAATAGAGTATAGGTAAATGGACATTAACGCGTACCAGTATCCACCAAATGCTTCACAACCATTCAATATAGTTTCAGCAAGGATAACAACTCCCTGGTTTCATACATAGGCCTACATTAAAACACGTTGTTAGTAAAAAGGTTGCAGCATTTTTCATAGTTTTGAAACCATTCCATAAAACTGAGACTGCAGATATAGGCTTTACAGATAGGCCTAGTGTTCCCCAACATTCGATATTCCGACTATTCCGATTACAAAACAAGCTGAGGCCTAGTACTCATTTGAACAGTGCTTGGATTCAAGTGATCAGAATGGGGAAAAAATTGTCACCCATGTTATGAATAGACGCATCTAGGTGCACGTAAAATATGCCTTATGCTATATTTTTTTAAATATTGTCTCCTTTTTGCAATTCATTTGATTTAGCTATTAAAATAGAATTCTGTAATTGTTATCTTTTTAAAACCATACTGTGTACAGAAGGCGCTCTACTGTAGCTAAGGTCTGCTGATATCCAGGGGATAATCGAATGATGTTCTAATCTATGGTTTGTACTGCAAGATTTTAGCCGGTTTATTTCGATGGTTATTTCAATTCAATTCAATAGTATTTAGTACTGTGACATTTTTACCATAAACGATTAAAACACGTTGTTCTAAGAGTTTATTGTGCAAAAACGCGTTATGTATGCTTAACCGTTTAAAAAATAACCGGTTATTTTGCGTTGTTCAGTATAGAAACTCGACCGAGAGAAAATTCTGGTGCGATAGGATTTGAACACTGGCCCTGAGATTGGAAAGTTACCCACTTTTACATCCACACTACAAAACGAACATGTTATAATTTCATGACCAGTCCATTAACTTAAGTAGATTGTATAAGGCCCCATAAAAAAAAAAAAAATTAGTTTATCACCCTATCAAAGAATAAGAACTGATGAGGGAGGGAGGTTTTTTTTTTTGTTTTTTTTTTTTTGCTAATCCCGCCCCCATTTTACCGATGATCACAAGTAAATCAACGGTTAGAGACAAATATATAAAAAGTTATAAGAATGGAATCAAATTTATATTTAAAAAATATGTTTTTGTTGTACCAGTAAGCATATTTGCAAGAAACCATGAGCTTTTTAAGTGAAAAAGGATCGTTTGAAATGAAAATATATGTTGATTGAAAAAAAAAATAAATCTGATTTTTCCCAAAAGTGATGAGGGAGCGGGTGATAAACTGATAATTTTTTTATGGGGCCTAATGTACGTTTTGTTTTAAAGTACTACACCCCAGCCCAAGTGTTTGTATGTCTAGAGGTACGACGGCTCCACGTTATCTTTGCAAAACATATCATTATTCATACATCGTTATAGATATCCATCTGTGAATAGAACGTGTACAGTATACTGTACACGTAGGCTGATCAAATCAACAATGAAATTTTATTTATCATTGACAGCCGTTGGGCGATTGGAAAGCTCGTGTAAATGATTTATAAACGTCTGTTTTCAATGATTTTTATGCATTGTTTACCGACTGTTGGAGCTGACTTGTATAGGCCATGCACACTTTACATGAGGAGGTCTTGCCTTCCCGTGTAAACAATACGAGTGTTTACACACTTTGAGTAAATACTGGCCTTATCCATCCTTGTCTTTTTGATTGGTGGGTGGGCAAATGCTAGAATAGAAACTATGTATGTTTGATTAGGCATTGGTGTCAGTATTCTGCGTTTTAGCACGTAAGATAGCCACCATTTATCTGTTTATAAATTAGTTTACTCTTTTGGTGTATGAGTCGTGGTTGACGGGAAATGTACTTTCTGGCGGGGGTATTTTTTACCCCGCCTGATGTCCCCATGGCGCTATACGGTTGTAGGAGATTTTTTCCTGGCACAGTAAATAAACTTACAATAGGTCCAGACCGACTAAATTATTTTTTTACAGCGCATTACAAAATGGAACAACTATCAGACAATGAGGCTAACTCAGAGAAGTAGAGCGTAAAAAACTCAATGGAGGCTTGCAAATCCACGGCAAAATGCATTAACCTGACTGACCTATAATAGTAAGCCTACGGTATCTTAACTTCACATTGACGCCCGGGAAATGGAGTGATTGAATCCACCGGGTTACTGCCCTTATTTCTGATGTGAGACTAATCTTCTCAGGGCCAGAATACGGATTAAAACACACCTAGCTTGAGATTTTTCATTCAATCTACAACCATAATACTTTATTCCAATTAAATTGTGTTTTCGATAATAATTAGAAATAAATGGAGAATTTTTTTTCAAATTATTGTAATTTGTTCGTGTTAAATCGATTTTACGTGCTATTTTCAGTGTTTTTTCATCCATTTCTTTGTATACGCCTATAATTTGTATTACAAGGGCCTCTTAATGTCAAGACTATACTCGTGAGAATAGTTATAAATAAGCCTAATCTATTAGAATAAAGAGGACTAAATAACATCTTTCCGCTAAGCCCCATCCGTTGGATATTTTTGCTAGGTCCCCCAAAACAATAGCGTGGACGTATAAGTAAACACGCGTTTGTGGGGCAACATGTGTTTGTAGGGCAACATGTGTTTGTAGGACATAGTGTGGTTAGCTGCCTTTATACCACAGACATAGCCCGACAACAAAAAAGTTGATGGGCTCTCTGCCTGATACGTTTATGGCATCATCTGCTCCTAAATTGAGCACTATGAAATCTGTCTCTTCAACTATATATATATAAGGAACTTTCGTTGATGAACTATGTTTGATACGATTTATAACATCATGTTCCTATATTGTTGAGCACTGTTTATTATCTCTTCGGTTTACTTGTGTTCCCAGTACTAAGCAGCAACTTGATTTGAATATTATTTCTTATGATTTACCATCTGCTACCTGTCAGCTATTGTGTATTTTTTTTTTTAATCGCTCTATCATGTATGAGCCCTCAAGTTGTATGAACGAAGAGAGACTAGTGGTCTCAGATCGGTAATAATGATATTGAACGGGCCTCTGTGGTCTAAACGGTATGACGCTCGCCGAGATAGCGAGAGATTGCGGGTTCTATTCTCACCAGATGCCTCTTTGCTCATACAGCCATAATAATAAGGAACTTATAACATCATGTCCCGATACGTTTGAGCACTGTTTATTTATTACCTATTTGATTTAGACATGATGTGTGTTACTTGATTTGACTATGATTTACCAGGTGCTACCTATAAGCTTTTGCATGCTTAAAAAATTCGCACCATTATGTGTGAGCTAGTCCTCAAGTTGTATGAAAGGAGAGAGACGTCTAGTGGTCTTAGATTCGTAGTGATATTGTACGGGCTTCTGTGGTCTAAACAGTATGGCGCTCGCCGAGATAACGAGAGATTGCGAGTTCGATTCCCACCAGAAGCCTTTTTTATACAACTATAATGAGGAACTTTCGTTGATGAACGATGTTTGATGCGATTCATGCGTGTAGGTCAGGGTGAGTCTGTGAGGAGATAAAATATCAACGTAATTTATGTCACAATGTACCGTAAATAATCGAATAAGCGCCGCGGCGCTTATACAATTTTGGAGGCTTCAGTTTAGTGCGGGCTTACTCGAGAGCGGCGCTATAAATAGCGGGGGAAAAAAACAGGTTTGGTGCGGCGCTTATTCCAGAATT